TAAAAGGTAGAATAACACAATTGAAAGGAAAAATAACACATCGGGTGGCGATAATAACTCGTAGGGAATATTCTCCCTACGTTACACGCATCTGATAACATAAATAACGCGCTGATAAGAAGAAATAACGCATCGGCTTGGCGAAATAACGCAGCCGTAACTTAAAGTAACACGGGGGGAATATTCGCTTCACGTTACGTGCGTTTAAATCGGCAGCGAATGACATTAATAACACTCTCCAGAACGGAATAACACAACGAGGAGGGAATGTAACGCAACGCAGAGGAAAAGTAACACGAGAAGAATATTCCTGTCACGTTACCGTTGTTTTAATCTTCCGCGGAAGACATAAATAACATGTGTCTAGCAGAATAACACAACGATGAAGGGAAAGTAACACAGGAGGAACGACATAACGTGGTAGGAATATTCTCACCGTGTTACGGCCGGGTTAGTCGGGGCAAAAAATGAGTTTTTGTGTTATTTTTTAATATTTCTCATGTTACAAAGGTGTTATGAATGTGTTATTTCACTGTTCTTCGGTTGTATTCGACAAATAAATGTTTTATTGGACTCTTGTATAGATGTATTGGTGTTATTCATGCGTTATTGGGTAGCTCTTCAGATATATTTGCAAAAATATTATTGTTACAGCATGAACAACACAACAACCAAATATTTATAGGAATTGAATGCTAAATTGCTTATTCAAATAGAAATTATCATCATGCGAACATTGTACACATGTCAACAAACAAAATAAATAATAACAATGATTTATAATACATTAAAGGTCAGTTATCAAATCCATCAAGAACCTAGTGAAGGTTTGAGTTGATAAGTGTAATGAATAAAAATTCTGTCATGTTGTAAAGAGAACAAAGTATTAGAATAATCGATGACAGAAACACCTTAAATAGAAGATATGTCGGATTTTTAATGATTTACCTGGCTGAGACAGTCGGGCAAAATTGGATCTGATGGAATAGAAGGCTCTCGGCTTGTAGTCTGTTCTGGATCTTTTCCTGTACACAAAACTTATGGTAGAGTAAACAAATACAAAATTAAAGTTGGAGCAGTTCTAATAATGTTCAGATATATACTTTTGGATCTCTAATTCTTCTCCCAATAACCTTTTGGCCTAGAATTCGAAACTCCGTTTCATCTCATCTTTGTTGGGTCAGCCACAGTGCGATAAAATTTTTATGGTTTTTTCTTCTTTGTTTTTCTATTAACGTTAGGTGTTTCCCCAGCTTTTGTTTCGTCAAGATCAACTGATAGCTTTTTAAATGTTTCCCAATGCAGGTGCTCGTTAAGTTCGTCACCTTCTGCTTTATTTATTAGTTGATATGCAAACTTCTGAGATTAATGATGGAATAAGAGGCCACTAGAGGAAGCAGACGTCATTTGAGACTCCCTGAGATGTTTGTATTCAAACCTGTTGTAGATGTCTCTTTTAGCATGAACAAACCATCACATCAACAAATACTTCTCAGGAATCATATTTATTTTAAGCACATTAAGAAGATGCAGTGCATGCGAACACGGTATTCCCTTCATTTCAAACATCCTGCAACTGCAGGTAACATCAGAATTAATACTGTCAAAATTTATTATCCATGTCTTCGATGTGTCATCATTATCCAAATTACGTATATAATACTTTGAACCACTTTCTGCGGTGAATTCAAGCGGAAGTCCACACAACCCATTGACTAGCTCTTGCTCGAACATTGAGTAAAGCTTCCTCGTATAAAATGAGGAAGCTTGCCTCAAAACAGGGTTGACTTTAACAATCGGCGTAGTGACAGATTGACCACATTTGAAATCTTCATCCTTTTCATTCCTGCGCCATGATTTCATTATATTTTCAGGGCCAATAAAAGAATCCGTCAAAAAGCTTGTGGGCTTCGAAACACCATGGCATACATTATTGGTGGACTCACTTCTTTAAATTGATAAGATTCTCATTCCAAAAATTTCTTTATTAAACGCAGTAGACCATTTGTATCTGATTTTATACATGTCATGCAACCACACATTACTATGTAGGTCACTAACTTCAATCATTAATGACCAGGTATCTTCAAACTTCTCCGAATTACATTTACTCATGAACTTATAAAATAGTCTGGTGAGGCTCTTGATTGCAACTCCACAATGCAGCTTTGAAGTAATTTTTTTGTATATATGTCATTGGCATAATCTGTGCCCTGTTTGTGGGAGACACTCTTCAATGACCCTTGTCATAGCTTGGTCCTTATCGGTGAAAATACTTATTGGATGCTTGTCACCCATTACTCTTATGAAAGCTTTGAATAACCATTTAAATGAATCAATAGTCTCCTCTCACAAGAAGCCAACCCCAAACAGGACGTTTTGTCAGTGGTGGTTAACTCCAACAAAAGGAGCGCAACATAAGTTATACTTATTTAATCTACAGCTTGTATAAAAAATTATAACATCACCAAAACAGTCATAATCTAGCCTGGATAAACCATCAGTCCAAAAAAAAACTTGTTAATCTACCATACTCATTGGTTTGGAAATCTCATGCAAACATGTTATCGTTGTCTTCCTCCATGAACAACTGTAATAGAGAGTTGACTACTTGTTCAATTTTTTATTTTCTTTCTCTTTGAATGAAATTGAATGCATCCCTCCTCGTGTATTCTAAATTCTCTGCTCCCACAACCTCAAGAGCTCCCCCAACGCTCCCACAACCTCAAGAGCAATGAAGTTATATGCATTTGTTGCTCCAATCCCTGCTCCTGTCATCGATCTTAGCACATATGCATTTATGTCACTTATCCTTTTACTGGAACGAAGAAGATGCTTATCACCAAATTTAGTCAAATGATGGTTGTGACTTTCAATGAATTTTTGTACTATCCAGTTGCCTTCTAGATCAACTGCATAGAGAATCATGGATTGACAGCCAGTCAGTGTGTCTGCCTTTTTGTATTTTCCTGTAGGTTAGACTCCTCGTGACCAGCTTTTGCGCAAAGGAAATCTTTGGACTTCCTTTTCTTAGAATTCAACCAATAACTGTTGTGGTCCTTCCGAACACTAAATCCTACATGATGTGCATAAGCACAATAGGCTTCATAAGTTTCTTGCTCATAGTGGACGATGATGCTAAAAAACTTCTCAGCAATTAGATCATTACAAATAGTTCTTTGCTCACATGACTGCACATTTATAAAGACCTCATCAAGACCTTTATCAAAACCTGAATAACAACACATTTATAAAGCAAAAATAACACAATATCACTACCACAAACGTTCATAACATCAGTGTAATACCATAATAACACCAGCATAACACCACAAATAACAACCATATTAACAATACCATCTGCTGTGCTGTAAGAAAACCACAAAAAAAAGACCTAGAATGATACAATAAAACCTACCATAATGAACAAACCTAAAACCTAACATAAAAAAACAGAGTAACCCCAACAAAACACCAAAATAAAACTAGAATAATACAGTAAAACCTACCATAATGCACAAGAATAACACTAGCTTGATGCCATTCTACAACACCACAAACAAACTAGAAAATAACACCACAAAAATAATCAATATAATACACAAGATAAACCCACCAGTAATACCACTAAAACCAACCATAACACTATAGTAATGGAAGAATAACACAATAAAATATTTAAATTACTAAATACACCATATTATCATTATCATCTACAGCTGAATAAAACCACTATTAGACCACATTCAAAACCTTAAACCCTGGACCAAACAAAAACAAAGTTACTCGGCGTAACACCATAATAACACTGTAAAACCTAGCAAGCTTGCATAAGAGTAACACTAAACTAAAACCCCTAAACAATAGCAGAACAAAAGTAAAACTTGAGCTAACAGTAAAACTCACTTCCTCTTCTAAGTTCAGAGAAAACCCTGACTGCATTTTATCCAACATTTCGTCGTTCGACAAGGACTCTATGGAAGGCATAAACCCTAAAACATTGAAAGAATAGGTGCTCAGCTCCGCACGAGAAAGAAAAATAGCCAGAAAAAATGCGAAAAAGCTTTTTGCGAATTGGGTTTGGGTCGGGCCTGAGCAACTGAGCGTGTTTTTTTTATTAGGTGAGTCCAATGTTGCCACGTGTCTCCATCGCATTGGATTCCGAATGACTCTATACATTCGGAGTCCTGATAGAATAATTCGCACTCAAAGCAAGTTGTATATAAGAGAAGAAATATAATTTGACCTCAAGTAACAATTCTTTCCTGACAAATGTCCACAGACAACACTATTTTAACTTTTTGTAAATATAATTGTAAAATTGTTGAGATAAAAATATGATTTCTTAAATTATTGTGTGTAATATAAATAATAAAAAAATTTGAACAATTTTATTATAATTACTACAATTTAACAAATCTATTCTAAAATATCAACTTCCCACCATAATTTCTAAAAAACAGTTAGAAAATAATAACTTTGACAGATAATCTGAAAAAAAAAAAACTGACAAATCAGACAATAAAAATCTGTCCCAAAAAATAACTTAAACCCTTCATAATAAGCAAATACTTCAACTTGGTGTCTTAAGTGCTTGGAACTCCCAAAAGGACATGATTAGAGAGGAGTTAATACAAACAGCTGGAACATTTAATTACAAAAAAAATTTAAAAAAAAACTTCATGACTGAAATCAGAAGCCTCGCCAAGAAAACTAAAAAGACAACAAAGAAGACGAAATTCTTACCTTTAGAATTACTGCAACGTAATAATAATAAAAAATCCATAATTAAAACCTTGTAGAAAAAATTTCATGGAGCAGATCACCATGGCCAATCCATTAGAATCTTTCTACAAACTATATAATATACAAAATATATATATGAGCATCCTAGCTTATAAACAATGCTGGTCTACATGGATAACACTGCGTTTGATGTGTAATCATTCATGTAATTCATATCTAATACTTCAATATTCATATGTACTTACACAACATCATAATCTCTAAATCGCATACCAGACATCACTAATATCAAGTTATTTGGAGTGAAGTACATAGTTTCATGGATATAAGGATTTAAATGATAGATATGTAAATAGATCAAACTTTAATTACATGCATATAAAACACCCTATAGAATCATATAAGACAGAAGCATCAAAGGATGTTCATTAATCAACACAACCGCGCGCTTATCTGGCAGCTAACCTGTAGCAATGTCGTGAAGACCCCGTCTGCAAATTTGCACATCCATTTCTTGAATACCGCCGGTGAGTTCAAAAATACAAATGTCCTTTTCTTTTATATGATTTTCTTTACAAAAGAGAAACCAACCCTGCCCAAGGTGCACACGGCCATCAACCCGATGCTTAATATCGACTAACCATGACCTTCCAGAAGGATCACGCAGTGTTGTTTTGCTTGCTTTGGTGACATCAATTTCTTTTAGAACATGCGTTGGAATGTTCTGCAGTGTATGGAAAATTGAACAAAATATTCATGAACATGTATGATCTTAAAGAGGACATTAGAGTAGAACATGAATAATGTTATACTCCACAGATAACTGGGATTACGTTAACTTAACAATCAGTTATTGGGGGATTTTTTTTCTAAAAAGAGTTTTTTTTAAGTAAACGAAATGAAAAAAAATAAAAAAATGAATCACAGCATTGCCGCCCCATGAAGTGGCATTTGTCGCCTGTATGACCAGCAACATTTTTTTTCATAATCCACGGCACCCCAAATGGCTAGTTCTAACGTCTAGCTGAACAGGCCTACTGTTGGATCCCGGAAGCCCTATTTTGGCTCTTAAAAATCCACCCAAAACTTTCCCCATTTCACTTCTGCCTGTTTCTCCAAGTGATTTCTGCTAAGCTTCTTTTTTTTTTTTTTTTTTTTTGGTTCCTCTTTTACATGCTCAAATCTTGCAGAAATTGTGCTAATATTGTATCCATTTTTAGGGTTAGTGATTTTTTTTAGTTATTTATTGAAAATACTATTATTTTTTTTTTCGAAAAGTTTGATTTGATGAATATAACATTTTCAAGGTTAGTGATTTTTTTTTTATGTTTATTGAATATGAGATTAATCTCCAAGTGATTTCTGCAAAGCTTCTTTTTTTTTTTTTTTTTTTTGGTTCGTCTTTTACATGCTCAAATCTTGCAGAAATTGTGCTAATATTGTATCCATTTTTAGGGTTAGTGATTTTTTTTAGTCATTTATTGAAAATACTATTATTTTTTTTTCGAAAAGTTTAATTTGATGAATATAACATTTTCAAGGTTTGTGATTTTTTTTTATGTTTATTGAATATAAGAGTAAATTTTTTCAATAAGTTTAATTTGATGACTATAAGTATAAATTAAATTTAAAACTTTTTTATTAAATTCAATGTGATATTAATCAGTGAACTATATAAATATATTTCAATAATTAAATTCATTAAGCTTTTATGAAAAAAAAAGGAGATCAAAATTGAGAGGTTCCAAGCAGGTTCTATTTTCAAATGTTTGCCTAGATAAATCACATATCATGCCTAGTGTAACTAGGATATGCACTAAGAAATGTAATAGAGATGTGTATGTATATGTTTATACTCTAATTACATGCTAATATTTGAGCATCAGTTTAATTGCACCAATAATTTTATTCATTATGAGTCAATAATTTAAATGCACAAAACACAACAACAAGCCTTTATCCCACTAAGTATGGTCGGCTATATGAATCCTTTTTCCCTATTATGTACTATTGAGTGTCATATTTTCATTTAATTCTAATAAATTAAGATCATTATTTATACAACATGCCCAAACCTTTTTAGGTCTACCTCTATCTTTCTTAACATAAGTTGAATCTAAAATATCTACTCTCCTAACCGGATCATCAAATGGTCGACGTTTAATGTGACCAAACCATCTACGACAACTCTCTCTAATCTTGTCTGTCACTGAAGGTACACCAACCCTTTCACAAATAATATTTATTTCACATTTTTTCTCAAAAAGTCATTCTCATCTCAACAACATTTAGCATAGGTACACGAACCCTTCTCTATCATAAGCGAATGTTTTACACCATAAAGCATTGCAGAACTTACCACCATCTTAAATTTTTTTCTTCAAGACAAAAAGGTACTTTCCTAACACACAATAAGTCCGATGCATTCATCCACTTCAACCATCCAACTTGAATTCTATTAATAAAATCTCCATCTGTATTACCATCACTTTGAACAATAGACCCAAGATATCTAAAACATTCACTCCTTTTAATAAATTGATCACCCATTGTTACAGCTCTGCCATTAGATCTACAGCTAAAATTACAATCCATGTACTCAGTTTTAGATTTACTCAAACGAAAGCCTTTAAAATCTAATACAGACCTCCCTAATTTAAGTTTATTTTGAACTTTCTCATCTTATCCACAAGAAGAATATCATCAACAAAAACATACACCAAGGTATATCCTCCTTTAAATATCTAGTAAGGGCATCCATATAAAGCAAAAAGATATGGGCTTAAAGTCGATCCCTGATATAATCCAACTAAAATAGGAAAATACTTGGTCAATCCTCCTTCTACTCGACACTATTAACAAGTCTAGTATATATTTTTTTAATGAATTGAATATAATTCATATCAATAGTTTTCTTTTCTAGAACTGTCCAATTAATTCCTTGAAACCTTACCGTCAACTTTTCTTAAATCAATAAAAATGTGGTCAATCCTCCTTCTATTCGACACTATTAACAAGTCTAGTATATATTTTTTTAATGAAATGAATATAATTCATATCAATAGCTTTCTTTTCTAGAACTGTCCAATTAACTCCTTGAAACCTTATCGTCAACTTTTCTTAAATCAATAAAAATCATATATAGATAGTCCTTACTCTCTCTATATTTCTCCCATCAAAGCTCTCAATAAATGTATAGCTTTCACAATAGACTTACCCAGAATAAATCCAAACTGATTTTGAGTAATCACTGTATAAGGCCTAAATCAAGACTCAATTCCTTCATATATTGTACACTCTTGTGCATCCTCTACTCCAGCATCTTTTTAGCTTTAAAAAAAATACTAAAAAATTTAGTAAGCCAAGAAATTCTCAAATCTCTTAAAGATTTCCACCCGTCTATTAGGATATCATGAGATCTTTCTGATTGAACCTTTATTTATTTTTTTTAAGTTTTCTCAGATTCTTTTTAACTAATGCAACCAAAAAAATAGAAGCGACGATAAAAATACAAAATTTATGGAAAAATTACATACCTTCTCATGGATTTACCTACCTTACACTTAAATTTTCATTTTACACACATAACACTTTACCTATAGATGAAAAGATGAATTTGACTATTAAAAGGTGATATTGAGTGCTACTTTTTATATAATGTTTCTAATTATGAAAGTATAGGTGCGAGATAGGTAAATATGAAAATTTTGAGTGTTAAGTATGTAAAAACCCCAATATTTTATTATTATTAACACTATTAAGATCAGTAAGATCGATCGTATTTTTAAAATTTCATTGAAAAGTTTATGAAAATAATATATTCTAAGAAAAACACTTTTTGATTTTCATCTTTAATACACTTTATTTGAATTAAATCGTCACTTTTCTTTTCTCTTTGTTAGGCTAGTTTATACATGTTAGGACTCAACTTGAAGCTTGGAATTAACCATGACCGAAACGGACGGTCGAACGGTGAAAATCAATTCTCTACTATTTTATGTTTATTACTGACAAATTAATATTCAAATAATAGATGAAACGCAGAAAAAACAATTAAAATTAAACGATAAAAATTTGTACCTTTCGGATTATTGTTCTCGTTTTCTATACCCATTTGATAATCTTTTGTTGATCTTAATCAAAAACTTAAAACTTGAAGAATGTTAAAATACAATGAGTTATCTAAAGATAGCTGAGAAGTAATTATACTTCTAAACTACAGTAATCGAAGAAAAAGAAATTAATATGCATGTTGGTCTTTTATATCTCTATAAGAAATCTTTTACAATGCTAATCTTTTATATGAAATCTTTGAATATACAAATGCATGCATCAAGGATTTTCTCTATATAAAAATACTACAAACTTCTATATGCATTAACTTTAACTTTACTTTTACATCATACACTTTACATACGCATCTGTCGGTTCTCATTGACTTAGGAATCAGTGATTTACACATCACAATTATCTAAGGTGGAAAGGTCCTTAACTACCTCTGACTAATATTATCATGCCAACACAGCGGTTAGTGTCATAAACATTACATTATCTAAAGTGGTAAGCTCTGTGTACTCGCCCCTGATCGATATTATCCCGTCGGCACAACGATTAGTGAACTAACTATCACAATTGTCTAGGGTGGTAGAAAAAAAAAAGTCTACACGCGCGGTATCTTGTTATCCCATATCTATACCAGTAGGGGGTGAACTTCTATTAACATGCACATACAAGCATCCAATTAGATAATGAGCTAACATATACATAATTTTCATTTAATTATTCAAAGCGTACATTATTTTCAAGGGATATTTGTGTTTATTTACTCAGATTATGCAACTCTATGATAATCTAAATGATGCACCTATACTCTAGTTCTAAAGGTCAAATAAAAGTCAAGCATGATCTAAAATATACATCTAATCAGATAATAAGCTAACATATACACCTTAATTGAATATAAACATCGTGTAACGATCTAATATCTTCATAAACTAATCCATTATGCAACTATTAAGGCGACAATATCAACATGCATATATAAAGTTTAACCATATGAAAAATTCTATATGATTTAATTTCATTGTGTAAACCTTTAGTCTATTTAACAATACGAAGAATCTATTATGATCTATATATCACTGGAATAAATTATATAGACGAAGTCAAACATACATAAAAGTGTAAACCTTTAGTCTATTTAACAATACGAAGAATCTATTATGATCTACATATCACTGGAATAAATTATAATGAACATTATTGAAATTCCTAAATATATTTACTCACCTTAAGCTCAAAAGATTTCCTTGTCATTTAGTTTGATTGCTTGCACAATTTGAATCATTGATTTATCCAATGAGATATTAACTTTAACTTATTAACATTTCAATTTAACTTATATAATTAATAATAAAATAATACACCAAATCCTAATTCATACCTTTTCTTTTTCACTTCTTTTAAAGTAAACAATTCTGATTTCCAAATCTTACGATGCAGAGTTCTTTGATTTAAGATTTATAACATAAATTAGTATAAACTAATATAAATATTAATAAAATTTACTTAGTTTGAATGAAAATAAATCTACACCAATCATACCTTGGTTCGACTTCAACTCCCGCAAGAATGCCAAAACGCACAAGCTAGGGCTGGTCGGCTTGATTCAGTTTTCCACACACCTATCCTTTATCTGATTTCAGACGTTAATTAAACTTATAA